CCCCTTTCTGTTTCTTGTATATATTAATGACTTACCTTACATAGTAGGGGATAACCATGATATAGTATTATATGCTGATGATACTTTATTAATTTTCAAATTAAAACGACAGTTATCAAATTACGACGAAGTAAATAATGCTATAGCTAAGTTAGTCAATTGGTTTAATGTTAATAATTTGCATTTGAATGGAACTGAAACTAAATGTATGAAATTCGTAACTCCTAATGTTAAACTTGTCAATACTAATGTAATTTTAAATGGGGGGGGGGACTGAGTCTTGTTGGTTGATACCACCATTTTTCTTGGAATCACACTGGACGCAAAGCTTCAATGGCTCCCCCATATATCAAAACTAGCTAGCAGACTTAGTTCTGCAGCATATGCTGTAAAAAAAAGATTAGAACTCTTACCAGTGTTGAAACAGCTAGAATAGTTTACTTTAGTTATTTCCATAGCATTATGTCGTATGGTATTTTGCTATGGGGACACGCGACTGACACTGAAATTATATTTATTTTACAGAAGAGGGCCATTAGAGCAATATATAATTTAAAACCAAAAGAGTCACTGAGACAGAAATTTAAGGAAATTAAAATATTAACCCTGGCCTCTCAATACATTTATGAAAATGTAATGTACGTACACAAAAATAAAAGTAGTTTTGCGAAAATAAGTGATATTCATTCTGTAAATACTAGGAACAGACACAAGCTAGTAGTACCAGTTACTCGACTCCACCGAGTCAGTAATTCATTCTTGGGGCGATGTATACGCTTTTACAACAAACTCCCGGAAAATATACAAAATTTGTCATAGACGAAGTTCAAAAATGTTATTAAACTAAGTTTGTATAAAAAAAGGTTATTATAATATTAAGGAATTTATTGATGATAATAACCCCTGGGAAGGGTGATCGCTACCAAGCTATTTCTAATTTGTTTTGTGTTGTTTATTGTAAACATTATTGTAAGCTATTATTGGAGAAAAATAGTCCCGCGGGTTTCTTTCTGGTTCTTCCCAGGACAGAGGTTTTTTTTGCGAAGCAGTGGTAAATGAAAAAAGTGACTTTCAATAAGTATTGTTATAATCTACATTGAATAAAAAAAGTTTCTGTTTCTGTTTCAAAAGTGCGTAAAGCCGTGTTTCTGTTTGACCTCACTAGATAATTGATTTGGCATTATTTCTTCAGAGATGGAATGAAAGAGGGGGAGAAAGGAGAGGGTAAATATGTGAGAGAGGAAGAGAGAAAGCAATTAAAAAATCTATGCGTTATTTTATGCGCGTGAAAACAATTAGTCATCTGGAGACGATTTAAAATGATTAACTACCCCATATCATCTTGGTAGTGTCGTTAGAAGCAGAAGAAAGAAATTTTAACAGGAGATTAAGCAGCTTCCTAATAACAAGTCTAAATAATAATCATGAAATTGCGGATATCAAATAGACTTTTTACCTCGGTAGAGCTGCAGCTAATGGTTACAGTTCGAATGGGTGGCCTAGATCCCTTGGTCCTTGGCACTCCCGAAAAATACGAGTATAAAATAATTGCTGTCGCGTTTCTTATGCTGAGTGACGAGAACCGGAGATCCTTCTTATCTTTCTTAATAAGGTATTCTATCTGAGTCCTCAAAAGTGATAATGCACCTACATCTAAATTCTTCAATGAGATTAGGCTTAATGCTGCTGTTTCGTATAATGAGTGTAGAGAACCTTTTTACTGGAAATGAGACATTCTATCTATGTCCTCAGGGGTTGCAAAGCGTCTCCATCCTAATTCTTAAATGCGTATAAATATGTATAATGAAAAGTGTAGGTATCTATGGCCTAAGCATTCAAGTGAAAAATGAAATACGGGCTTTGTTTGTTATCCATATTCTATTAAAAAACCCGGCTTAGCGTAATAGCTATGGCAAACATTTCCCCTATAAGGCAATCTATCGGCGAGGGGACGAATGAATGAATGAATTACACCCTCATCTTACGTTGTTATATGGGTACAAATACCTTTACTGATAATCAACTTGACAGCTTGTCCCAATGCATTTTCCAACTTGCGTTCGTGCTTCCTCTTGCGCTCCCTCTTGTTGGACGGCGTGTCCAGTATGTGCGTGAGGTCGAGCATCTCGATGGGGCGCGGCTCGTCGTCGTGCTCTGGGGGTTCTTCGCCACGCGGGCTGTCGCAGTGCCCCCCGTCGTGCGGGGGGTCGCAGTGGTCCTGCAGAGGCGTGGAGCATCGCGGCGGGGGGTCGGGAGGTGCACCCGCTTCTATGGCGGCCTGCAGCTCCACTAACGCCGGTGGACGCACACTTGCACCTACTAACCCCTCTTGGCTGTACTCCGGTTGGCACAGATCCTCCACTAGAAGCCCATTCTGTGAAGTTAGGTTTACTTTAAATAACTGTTCTGTGATTAAAATTTACAGGGTTATTTGGTTTGACTTGAATAGACCAAGTCTCGAAATCCGATTGGGATTATAATTTGACGGTAGCTTTAGTTAAATAAATAGTAATGTGAACAGTCAAGAAACTGATCTATCATTTGAAACATTTAAAAAATATTTAATAAACATAAAATATATTAACGGTTTATAAATTAAATGGTAATAATTGTGTGTTTTTTCTGTTTATTGTAATGGAAATTCATAGTGCAGCAATCGATTATATCATATGAGTACCTATTGGAAATATCGAGAAAAAAAATCTGCAATGTAGGCAAGTGATTCTTATTACAAGCAAATGACCAATAATCCACGCCATGCCATATTATATTTTGACCAACTATTTAACGAATCCATATTAATTTTTATATTTGTCAATAATTGACTACATAGTTATATTATCATTGTAAGATCTGATAATTTTTTGATAAATGTGTTGTTTATCTTTATAAACGTTTTTTGTAATATTTGATTAGTGGGATAACACATTCCATCTAGAAGTGAAGTGGCAGCAGAAGAGGATTTATTATCACATATCATCATCATCATGTAATCACCATTATAATCTGAAAGGGGACAAATCAATATCGATTCAAAATTATATAAAGTAACGTTTGTCAGCCCGCTCACGAAACGTGGCAACTATGGCAAAAATCCCACTCATCAGGCAATCTGTGGGATCGGTCTATGTTCAGCAGTGGGATTTTGAAAGCTGTAATGATCGAATGAATAGCAGAAAGTAGTGTGCGAGTGTGTAAGGTTTTTTTTTTTTAATAGAATAAGGGTGGCAGACAAGCATACATTCCACCTGATGGTAAGTGGATGCTGTGAGCCACAGACATCTACATCTATTCTCGATAAGGAATCAAAATGCAGATGCGTTGTCACCCCTGAGGACTGAGATGGGATGCCTCGTGTCCAGTGAAAAGGGTCTCCGGTTCTCTACACTCACCATACGAAACACAGCAGCATTGAGCTGCTGTTTTACGCTGGTGTTCTGTGAGAGCGTAGTACTTCCTTGATCGAGTTGACCCGTCTGTGCTACGACCATTAAATAGCTGCAGCCTGACTCCACCACGTAAGAATAATGGGTACATTAGGTGACCTGCAGTCTCCAGGTGACATGGAAGTCTGCGAGCAGACCGATGGGCTCGCCGTCGTAGTCCGTAAGCACGGCGTCCCCGGGGCCCGGCACGCGCGGCTCCAGTGGCAGAAAGGTGCGCGGCAGCGTGGGGGGCGGCCGCGAGCCCCCCGCACCCCCCGCGTCGCGCAGCGCCGCGCGGCTCGCCTCCAGCGTGATGTGCGTGAACTCGCCTCCTGCGCACCCCCCGACAGACGCCTTGCGTTTGCGCCCGCCGCTCGGCGTCTGTGGCTCCTCCGCGCCGCCGCCCTCCTCCCTGTTGGGCGCCTCTACGATACAACTACGTACTCTCCAAAGATGTTCTTTGATGGCTCCGTGGCGCAGTAAATTAGCAATGAGTTGCAGCGATAAGCGCGGGTTCGAATCCCGCACGGAACAAGTATTTGTATGGCCTACAAATAATAATTGTTCTGGGGTCTGAATGTTTCCCCTTGTTAAATTTATGTAACTGTCGTAACTTTTTAAAAAATAAATAAATAAAAGATACTGTTGAAACAGTATATAAAGTATGAAGTTATTTTACATATGCGCATTTTAATAATAATGAGCGCAATATTTAGGCAACGTTGCATATGACGGAAGTTTAATGCTGCACGGGAGAAAAGGTAAAACAATGCAGAAATTATTAAGGATGCGGATACAGACAGGCGCATCTCTTGATGATACCCTTGTCTTCCTTTCTAACACAAATCTTACACAGTTCACTAACGCGGCCAGCCAGCACACACGACCAGTTATACATTTACAAGTCATTGAACGGCGAACGAAATATTTCTCTTCATTCAGAAGAACAGATGGAGCACGAGCCGAGCACACGTCTGCGGTCTGCAGGTTTTTCAGTCTGTGTTAATCCTCGACAGACAGAACACGCACACACGCAACATTTAAAAAAATAGTTATTGAGACCGTAGCTGCCGCAGCTATTTATTTATTTACTACTTTTAACTACTACTTGAGTGTGCATCGTGGTTTTTTTTTATAGAATAGGGTGACAAACGAGCACACAGTCCACCTGATGGTAAGTGGTGGCTGCGGCCCATAGACATCTACATCCGTCATCCATTAAAAATCAAAATGCAGATGCGTTGTCACACTTGAGGACTGAGATGGAATGCCTCGTTTCCAGTAAAAAAGGGTCTCCGGTTCTCTACACTCACCATACGAAACACAGCAGCATTAAGCTACTATTTCACGCTGGTATTCCGTGAGAGCGTGGTCCTTCCCCGGTCGAGCCGACCCATTCGTGCTACAACTATACTACTAATATAACTGCAGCATGGCTCTACCACGTATAAAAAATATTATTAAATTAAATAGGTATTTATTAAAAAGTAATTGGAAAAGAAGAAGGTGGTGGATGCTGGCTATACATAGAAACAGAACAAATTAAGTGAAATAGAGACTAGGTTGGCCAAGAAAACTTTGATTTATACTTACCTGATCTAATTATCTTAGTCGGTCAGAATATTATACCTATATGCTGACGAACCAAATATATATGTAATTATTAAATTTTAACATATCAACTTGTATATTATTATTATTATTTAAATGATTTTACAGGAATAGCAAGGAAAACCAGCTTGCAGACAGAACATTACGCGGAGCCATCTGGAGAATTTTGTGATCATGTTCGAATGTCTTGCAACTATTTTACTTATTTCTCTGACATGCAGGTTTCCTCACGATGTTTTCCTTCACCGCCGAGCACGTGGTAAATCAGCACTTAAAATTGAAATTAACAATTTTATTAGTGCCGGCGGGGATCAAACCCGGTTTGGTCGCGTACTGTGAAATTTACAGCGAGCGCTAGCGCTCTTAAAACAAACTTCTTTATTATTAATAATTCAATATTCATAACAATATTAATTTCGATAATTGCAAAATTATGTATGTATATATTGTATATATTATACATAAAAAATGATCAAATTTAAAAAGCCTAACAAAAGCCGGACATGCTGGACACCGTCTGATTTGGCCGGACACGCAACCAAAAAGCCTGACTGTGTCCGGCTTCATCCGGACGCCTGGCAACTCTAGGGACCAACTACCCCAAAGTCCTATTTTCTGATATTCCAAAATAAGTGTTTGATTTAATCTGTCATTTTTACAGCGTGTTTATTGCATATAATAAAAATTCTCACAAAAAGGTAGATAGTTTCTACGGGGGTTAATAATTTAAAAATGTTTAAATAAATATTGCGTTGACAGTAGACAAATTACAAGTGTGCTACGCGTCGTAATAACTAATGAGTGCGACAGAAAGCGACGATCACCGATATGCCCATATTGTTCGCGCTCCCATTGGCTGCGGATCGCGTAATCTCGTGCTGTAGGCATGATATTTTTATTTTTTTGGGTTTATAAAAATAATATGTTTTAAATATATATTTTATTAGATGAAAACTTCAAGAAGTAGATAAAAATTAAGTTTACTCAAATGCACAACAGCTAGAAGTATATCTAGTGGATAACAAACTGATTGTTGGCAGACGCATCTGCAAACGTTAAATACCTACCACAAACGACGAAATTTGCCCATCTACATGTCGCAGACGCATTCGCGGATGACATTGGCTGATGGGTCTGTCGACGTATACCGGAGGCTTACAACACAAGCGTATAAGTGGGGATGTTTGGCTTGCCTTGCGTCAACTTGGCGAAGCTTGTCGCCGTTTCGATCGAGTGTCCTTTTTTAACAACAAATCAAAGGTCTATTGCGACGCATTCAAACGTTGGTGCACGTTCCGTATCGCTCGTGATCTCTGGACGTATAGATGTTTAGCTCTGTTACGAATCCTCGGTCGCAAAATGAGCAACTGGTCGAACGTGAAAACTTTATCCTTCATGGAATATTAGCAGAGTGAACCACGCCACGCCTAGGGGCTAAACAGCACCCTCCCGGTAACAGCTCAAACAAAACTGCGGTTGTTTCCGTACGTATTGTAAGTAATAATATTTTTACGTCTGTACTTTTACGTGTCTGCCACGCACGTATGGTGTCTGCAGAGGTAAACGAAGTTTTAATGGGAGTTCGCACATATTAATTAATATGTGGTAACATATTGCATATTTCGAAACGGTTACTATCATGGCATGGAACATTGCTTTGTTCAGAGACCTTAAACGAACCTTGGCGCCTAAAGGAATATTTTTGTATTTGTTGAAATTGTTAATTTAATTGTACTTTGCATACATAAATTTCACACAACTTAATTATTATGCAAAAAAGATACGCAAAGCTTTGTTAATTTGTTATCAGTTAAATCAGCGTAAAACGTTTCAAGGAAAAGTAAAATAAATATGTTCGCAATAGCTGTTAACTAACTACCTTGTTGCCAAAACGACAAAATAAAATGCAAAACTAAATACAGCGTTATAAATATTATACATAAATAAAAACAATTTATATATAAAATGTGTAAATATATTTTTCTACAAGGGACTTGTAGGCTTAGAAGACAATTGAAGATCCTTTATTTTATAAATTTTTCGTTTTTTTTTTATTTTAGTTTGTAAAGTATCATCACAATCAGGTAGGCCGTTCCGAAGACTATGTTGTTTTGTTACAAATCTCTTCAAATTCCGTTCTCTACATAAGATTTCTTTAATGTATCTAATATGACAAAAATTTTGTATTTTTTGTAAGAGGTAAAACGTATACTTATAAGCATCAAATAGTAACTTAATGTTGCTGTATTTAGCATGGTGAGTGTAGAGAATCAAACATCGCTTTTTACTGGAAACGAGGCAATTATTCATCTTAGTCCTCAGGGGTGACAACGCTTCTGTAGGTATTTTGAATCGGGGATAAATTTAGATATCTATAGGCACACATCACAGTATCCATTTATCATCAGGTGGATTGTATGTTCGTTTGTCACCATTATACTTAAAAATACGCTACGAAGCTTGCCACACGCCAGTATGTTTATATACGGGGTATGTTCCGAAATGTTTCCAGTATACTGCCGAATACAATTAACGTCATATTGTACTGGCGTGCTGCTGCCACATTGTGTCGGATATCCGGCCATATTAAAACAATTGTGTGTACGCTGAATGAAGCATGCCAGAATTTGTTTTTATTTATTTAAATATAAAAAATTATAGAATAATTGCTGGTATCTTCATTAAAAGAATATAATGACATTTGGAGAACAAAATGACAAAATAATCGCCAACACTTTTCCAATATGGCGCAAATGTATGATGTCATATACTGTCCTATGTTTTGAAACGAATCACCAGTATGGCATTGATTTATGATGTCATTTGTATTGGCCATTACACTGGGTTCTATTTTGGAATATACCCATGATGATATGATGTAAGTTAGCTACTATCACCTTATGAAACCGCTGTGATGACGTCAACGCTACCGTCCACAATTTAACTCTAGAGATCCGGTAGAGGAGTATGAATGAATGAATGAAATATACTTTATTGTACACCGATAAAAAAGAAGAAAAATAACAAATTATAAAAAAGTACAATTGGCGGCCTAATTGCTTAGAAGCGATCTCTATTATGCAACTACATTGCTTCAATTTAGGAATATCATTAATACTTTTCAGTGCTAAAATCAGCAAGATTGGGATCACTTGTGGAGTCACTTATGTCTGTCTCTGTGACTGTTTATTACAGGATTTTTTTCGAATTCTTAGAGACAATTGGACGTACACGATTTATATTTGACACAGTTACAATATGCTACAGGAACATCTAATTGAGTTTATCAGAATCAGTTTGTTTTTACTGTACACATTACGAAAGAGTGCTGAATTCGCCTAGCAACTGTTCCACAATTAAACCCGAATGTAGGTAATCGGCGTCTGCTGAATTATTATTCATTACGTGGGCGTATGTAAAACGTTTCAGTCACATTTAAATATTTGTCTAGCCCACAAGCCGGTTCGCAGAGACAACTGCGCGGAGTTAATGCGACGTGCAATGTTGATAAGGAAGCGGCCTTGCGATTCAACTATGCACACTTATATTGCTAGACATGTGGACGCGATTTTAAAATATTTCTGACTAAATAAACAAGTACCGTGTGGCGGCGGCGTCAGAATATTCAGTAGCCCACGTCGCCCGGAGGCGACAGGCGGAAATTGAAACAGGTGACGGAAATTGAGCAGCAGCACCTTCCCGATAACAACACAAAATAATGAACATCTGCGGCTGACACCCGCTCGCCAGCCGTGTCAACTAGGGCAAAATCCACCCTATGAGGCAGTCTAGGCTGCAATGGAGGAACAAATGAAGTTAAAACAAGTGATAACAATACTAGCACAATGATATAATGCTCTGGGTTCGAGTACTGGTGTGAATACCAATCTTCTCAAAAAGAAAAGCAAAGTACTTTTTTTACCTGTAAGCTCTGACAGCGCGCGACATGTTATACTCCCGTTCGCTCGGGACCTTAAAATGGCGGCAAATGAAAAATTTTCCCTAACTTGCAAATTCTGCTATATTTTCACTTTAAGACAAATTTTTTGAATAAAACTTAAAGGAATTCTTCTTGAATGTATTGGTTGGGCTGAAAAGTTCGTATCGTCTCTATGAGATGGCGCCACTAGAATAAAATCCTTATCATTTTTAGGTAGTACCAACCTTCAAAAGAAACGTGTATAAATTTGACAGCTGTCTGATTATTAGTTTGTGAGATACAGCATTTTGAGTGAAGCATCTTTTGTTATTTTGAAAAAAATGGATAAAAAGGAATTTCGTGTTTTAATGAAACACTATTTTTTGATGAAATAAAGTACTGTTGATACCAAAAAGTGGCTTGATGAGTGTTATCCGGACTCCGCGCCGGGCGAAGCAACCATTCGTAAGTGGTTTGCCAAATTCCGTACAGGCCATATGAGCACCGAAGACGATGAACGCAGTGGACGTCCAAAAGAGGCTGTTACGGACGAAAACATAAAAAAAATCCACAAAATGATTTTGGAAGATCGTAAATTGAGGTTGATTTGTATAGCTGGCACTCTAAAGATATCAAAGGAACGTGTTGGACATATCGTTCATGAATATTTGGGTATGCGAAAGCTATGTGCAAAGTGGGTGCCGCGCGAGCTCACAATCGACCAAAAACAAGAACGTGTCGATGCTTCAGAGCAATGTTTGGAGCTGTTCAACCGCAACAGAAGTGAATTTTTGCGTCGATATGTGACAATCGATGAAACATGGATCCACCACTACACTCCGGAATCCAGTCGGCAGTCATCTGAATGGACTGCACGCGATGAACCGAATCCAAAGCGTGGAAAAACTCAACAGTCGGCCGGTAAGGTTATGGCGTCCGTATTTTGGGATGCACATGGAATAATTTTCATCGACTATCTTGGAAAGGGAAAAACCATCAACAGCGACTATTATATAGCGTTATTGGAGCGTTTGAAGGACGAAATCGCGAAAAAACGGCCCCATTTGAAGAAGAAGAAAGTGTTGTTTCATCAAGACAATGCGCCGTGTCACAAATCGATGAAAACGATGGCAAAATTGCATGAATTGGGCTTCGAATTGCTTCCGCATTCACCGTATTCTCCAGATTTGGCCCCCAGCGACTTTTCCTGTTCTCAGATCTCAAGAGAATGCTCGCTGGAAAGAAATTTAAAGCCGATGAGGAAGTAATCGCCGAAACAGAGGCCTATTTTGAGGCTAAACACAAATCGTACTACAAAAATGGTATTGAAAAGTTGAAAGATCGCTATAATCGGTGTATCGCCCTCGATGGCAACTATGTTGAATAATAAAATCGAATTTTGCCAAAAAAAATGTGTTTTTCTATAAAACGATACGAACTTTTCAGCCCAACTGTATAAACTATCGAATAAAATAATTTTTGGATGTTAGATATAGTAATAAAATTCATAAATTACCCTTTAAAAAGCATAGTAGTAGTAAATACTCCACTTTTAGCCACGAAAATATTAATAAAATACATGTTTGTTTTTTGAGAAATCTATATGAAAATGTTTGGAAATAAATATAGTTTTATGTTTTTACGTGCTTTTATTCGTAACCCATACAAAAAAAAACCAAATAAATAGGAATCAAACATAACCCTTGTTTTCCGAAATTCAATTTTATTATATGAACTTTGAAACACTATTTCTCTAATTTTTTTGTGATTTTGAAATAAATACAACACTAAATTATTTGAAATATGTAATATAATTATTTTTTATTTACATTATACAGTAAAAATAAATGAAAATGGAAAAATAACACATTTCTTACTCAACCACGAAAACGGAAGTTTTTTTAATATAAAATCCATGGCCGCATTTGAGTGCCTTTTATTGTAAGATAGCTTTACCGTAATCTACAATCTCAAATTACATTTCTCGCACTTTACTGCTATAGCCCGTTGCCAATGTGGTAGTTTTACAATAAACATATTTATTATTGCAACGCTTCAAAAGTCTGCTACTGAACAAAGACCTCTCAAAAGAATGTCATAACAAAAGGCGTATAATTTAATATCGATAATGTCCTGCAGACCGAATTTCGGTAGCAGCGGTCACGCTCAACGGACTAACCTGTACAGAACGGAATTATGGTACTGGAGTGCGTGCGCAAACACACGTGCACTCTCAATTCCATTGGGCACGACTGGAATGAGATCAGACGCAGGACCAACGGTAACACTTTACCTGTTTATCGAGGCACGTGGATGAAACACCGCTAATTTCCTGACCCCGGGCTGTTACCAAGCATTTTTGACAGAAAAACCCAATAACTGTATGTGTATATTTTGATTGTGCCTCGAATGGGTCGGCTCCATCGAAGAAGTACCACCTCTCACAGAATATTAGCGTAAAGTAGCAGTTTATTGCTACTGTGTTTCGTATGGTGAGTGTAGAGAACTGGACACCTTTATTACTAGAAACGAGGCATTCCATCTTAGTCCTCAGGGGTGGCAGCACATCTGAATTTTAATTCTTAAATTAGATGTAGATATCTATGGGCCACAGCATCCACTTGCCTGGCGGCGTACTGTGTGCTCGTTTGTCACCCATATTCTACATATTATATTAAAAAAGCTGATTATAGAATAAACAATAAATTGGAAAGAGGCCTTTGTTACACTAAGACTGTGTGATTTAATGATTTTTTATATTTACGCGTTAATTAAAAATAAAAGTAAATAAAAAGTAAAAATAAACGCGATAAAATCCGTAAAAGTAGTTTTAATCATGTACAGTGTGATTTATTATTTAAGACCCCATCAGCACTCCCCACGGGTGGGATTTTAGTGAAGCACACGTAAAAAAGGGTAGTCATAGGGCATAGACTAAACAGTTCTATCACCATCTATCGAAAAGCCTGAGATACCATCTTCACATTTCCCACAGTTGCCTTTAACGATACCCAAGGAACGACATGTGGTGCTATAGTAACCATGATCTTACCATACAGTGTACACCTTGTGCCTTTCTATTCCAACCTGCCTCCGCTCTCGGATAGATTAGGACTAGCGAGTCTCTGTTAAAGACGTGTATAAAGGTTGTCTTGAGCCACCTATACGGCTCAGGACTGTGTTCAGTGGCATTCCTTACGGTACTTCCTAAAGTCTATGTTTAGCCATGGACTTACGAAGGTCTGTATGTAATGAATGTTATAATTATGTTCGCTACAGCTCGGAATCGATCCGAGGATTCATAACAGTCTTTGGTTAAAACACTCAAAACCGGATAACAAGGTCGCTAACGTGCATATTATATAAAATGTATGTGTAAAGAAGTGAACGCTTTATTTTATATAAATATATAGTACCTTGGCGACCGAGTTTAGCTCTAGAATATAAGATATATGTGGAAAACTTGTACAGTAAAAAATTATCTATCTCTATTATTCTTAATACAAACGTATGCGTAAATTCTGTTGACTTGATTTTGTTTTATCTATCATTTGCGTCAATCTTAATAAATTACGTACATCTAAGTACAAAATTGCATAATTTTTTTTTTACTTTTGTCTATGTTGGAAATATGGCAAGAAACTTCTAGAGGAACCGATATATTTGTAGGCTCTGTAAAAGCCACTAAGATATATATACCTTACCCAACTTACTTATATTACTTAGACTTATCATAAATACCTTACCCAACCTCACTATATACCTATATAGATGTGAATTTTAATGGCAGTAATAAATTGTATGCAATCTAAATTATTCCAGTTAGCATTTGTCAGTTCTCACAGTTCGCTTTTAATGTGTAAAACGATTTTTAATTGTTTGTAAATAATGCGCATTCTTGAGAATTGGTAATTACATTGTTTGTCACCTCATTTAGCTGAGTTGGAAGCCATCAATTATAGCGTCAGCAAATACACTTTATGGCACTTTTTTCTTTTATAAGGCTGTAGTAGCAAACAAACCTACAGTCCACTTGATGGTAGGTGGCTACTGCAGTCAACAGACGCCCGCTGCATACACTTTGGCGCTAGGAGTAAGTAAGAGGGTGGGATGGTACCTCAACCACTCCTACACAGAAAGATAGTGCTGCCACTGAATCATTTATGGAACAAACGTGTGACTGTCTAGTTGCTCCAGTGGTCGTAAGCGCGTGGTTGCTGATCATGAGGCCCTGGGGTCGGATCCCGAGTACCGGCCTTATCAGTTTTTGGATTTTTCTGGCAAGAAATTCTCAGGAGTCAGAAGTTGGCGATGTCTTCACACCCGTGCCTCGGAAAGCACATATATCCGTAGGTCTTGAACCTGATAAAACTATTTCTCTTTACCGAAGCGTTTGCCGGAAGAGAACTCTTATTATAGTTAAGCTCACCTACTCACCTTTGTACAACTTATTAAAATACATATTTAAAAATTTCATCATATAAGATGATAGTCATATATAAGAACAAATAATAATTTATTTTAATTCTGAACTTTTTCTTGAACATTTTTGTTGTGTGAGCACCTTATGCAGGTCTAGAGAGACCAGTATCACGGCGACCTGTAAAATCTATTGTGATCGTTCTTGTACCTTTCACCCTGACATAAGCAGATAATAACTCTCGGCAAAACAATGGAGCCATTTTTATAATAAAGAGGTAAGTGTGGGTGCTCACGTGTTGTTATGCAGCGACTCGCTGACGCTGAGCACGTGCTGGTAGAGGTAGTCCACCTTGCGGCCGTACACACAGGCCGAGTGCTGCAGCAGCAGCGCCAGCTCTGCAAAGTTGGGCGCCTCAGCCCCTGAACCCTCCCCCTCGTCCGCCTCCAGCGCCCGCAGCCCTGCCTCCGTCAGATATTCCTCCAGCAACTGCACACCCACACTCAGATGTATCACAACCACTTACATTTACTTTTCCTTTTTTTTAATTAATAATGATTTCTTAATTTACGCGAACACTACACAGATTAAAATTACCTTTCCTACGGATTTTATCGCGTTTAATTTATTTTATTTTTAATATAAAAAAATGTTACCTCCACAGCTCCATACTAAGATTTTCTCTTGTATCGTGGGGACAGTTTACATACATAAATTTCACAAGGACAAACATCCAGATCCAGAACAATTGTTTGTAGGCCATACAAATACTTGTTCCGTGCGGAATTCGAACCCTTGGCCCTTAGCGCTATAAGTCAATGCTAAACCACTGCGCCACAGAGAATCTATGACATTATCAGTACACATATTCATATTTACATACATACATAAACCCTCACATCTGTCACACAGAGCAGTAAGCAGTGACTCTTTAGATACAAAACATCCAGGGCCTGATTTACCCACAGGCTAACTAGGCTGTGGAGTCTAGGGCGCAAAGTTCGAGCGGACTCCGAGCTTGTCTTTGCAAGCAACACTTATGTACAGAATAAAATTTAGTATAATATTTTCAACAAGTGATAAAAAGTGCCCAAAGTATTTTTCTTGTGGCTCTCTTTATTTTTTGCTACTTACTTACTTACTTATCTTCACGCACAATCCCTAACGGGGTAGCCAGAGAGAACAGATCGCCAAGTGTCACGATCCTTACATACCTCTTTCGCTTCTTTCATGTTCATTAACTTCTTCATACATGCACATCTAGGTATCCGAGTACTCTTGACCTTCCCCTCTCCGAGCAATTTGCTCACATGGTCTTCGAAAGTTAGTCTCGGTTTTTGGTACAAGACAAATAAGTAGATTGTAAAAACAACACTGAATTATTTGGTACCTTTCGTATTTCGTTTACTGACTAGACGTGATTTAAAGATTTCAAGCTGCTCAAGGTCTCTTCTCTAGGCCTTCCAAAGAAACTTCTATCAGCCGATCAGGGAAAACGACTCACTGGCCCATGCCGCAAAAGAGAAAGTCGATCTTTTAAGTTCCCTTTTCGAAACTCGACTCTCGATGACTAGGGATACACACCGCCGCGCCGACCATCCCGCGGTGTGATTGCTCTATGCTGGATGTGCGGTTTACACATTGTTCAGAGTGCAAAGCACTCCTCTCCCTGGACGTTAATAAGTCGAGTGGGCCTGATGGAGTCCCACCTACTGTGCTGAAGGCGGTTGCTCCGGAGTTAGCATCAGTTCTCACGCGTCTTTCTCAGTACTCCTACTCTTTAGGCGTAATCCTGAATGAATGTAACAGCTTCAGAGACCCATCCAACTAAAGGCTTATTACCATTGTCTCCTTGTTCTTCAAAATATTAGAATCTATCATAAACCGCCAGCTCATAAGGTACCTTGAGAACCACCATCTCACTGTTTGTAACACTGGTGATGCTTTTTACACCGGCCATGCTATTATTTCTTGGGAACATGTCATCGAGTATCAGAACAAAGTCGTCAGAAGTCGAGTTTTTCAAAGTCTCAAATTGGAGACGATTGTAGACCAATTTGAACTGACGCAGGTTTGCGCGGTTACCGCTAAAAAGAACCCCTTTGTCGTATCTCCTCAATTTCAGGGCAATTTCCACGGTGCCTCAGCCAGCATTGGAATCCTCGGCACCAGCATATTGAATGACGCACAGTTCCGAGGTCACTTGGAAGGGTAGACTAAATTGGCCTCTAAAAAGCTTGGCGTGCTCAGCAGCGCGGGACAGTATATTATGCCAGAATATCATTTACAATTGATTAAAACTACTTTTGAATAAAACTATTATTTACGGATTTTATCGCGTTTAATTACTTTAATTTATTTTTATTATTATCCCGACGTTTCGGGTGCTTTACAGCGCCCATGGTCACGGGGGGGACTGAGATGTTTGACGTCCCAATGTCATAGTTAGTCCGGCTACCTTCAGTTTTTTTTTTAATATTAATTTTTGGTCCGATTTACGCAAAACGAGCTTATAGTATCATGAAGTCTTGCAGTGGTATGCTTGGGTTTGGGTTTAATTTTGTTGATTATAGGATCCCAAGCAGATGGTAGCACCCAACCATCTTCTCTATTGAAATTTGGATGTTTTTTAATTTCAATAGCCTCGCGTATCATCCTTGGTAGGAATCGGTGTTCTTTTGCGAGAATTTGTGGTTTATCAAATCTAATGTAATGGTGGGGACGATCTTGAACATGTTCGCAGACTGCAGACTTCCTACTACCTTTACCTAGTAGAAAACTACTTTTACGGATTTTATCGCGCTTAATTTTACTTTTAATTATTTTTTTTTAATTCCCGACGCTTCGGGCGCTTTCCAGCACCCATGGTCACGGAGGACTTTGGTGACTGACGTCCCGATGTCATTGTTAAACCCAGAGTACCTTCAGCTTCTTAATTATTGTTTATGGTCCATTCTATGCAAAATGAACTGACTGTGCCTTGAAGTCTTACAGTGGTATGCTTGGGCTTAGCTTTAATTTTATTGATTTTTTTTGATTTTTATAGATTTAATTTTATTGATAAGCAGGTGGTAGTACCCAGCCTCCTTCTCTATTGAAATTAGGATGTTTTTTAATTTTAATAGCCTCACGTATCATCATTCAGGTAAAATTGTGAAAGTATCATCTACATACCGCTTGTAGATCCTTGGTGTAACAGGTGCAGTAAGCAGGGCTTTCTCCTCAAAGTCTTCCATGAATATATCGGCGACAATGGGACTCTTCCTTCCACAATAGATAGCCAGATGTAAGGCAATATCTGAGTAATACTGCATATTCTGCTGGCATGTTATTTTCCTCTAGTTTCCTAGTTATAATTGAGATGCAGTCTTCAACAGGTAGGCATGTAAATAGAGACTGAACATAACTGACCATGGTTTCATAGTCATAGTCTTTGATCAGATCTTGTTCTTATTCTTTCCACTAACAGTTGACATCACACGCTGGAAGATTCAAGGAGCTGCATTTACTTCAAATGCTAACCGGTTCCACTTCATTAACTCTAGAGTTACTAGTCATTAACCCTGAGTCCACTTCTAAACTAACCTTTATACCATGATAATAACATCTGCTTTAAATGGTGATCAGATATCTGAGTGGACAAAAATTACCCATCATGTGTTCAGATTTTTCATTTTCTCTATCTGAAGTTGAACTTTCCTCCACCTGGTGTAACTTCCCAGATTTCTTTATACAGACCAACAATATACCACACCAACAATATATACAAACTTCTTACAATAAAAACATTTTGCTTTCATAAAAGGACACACTTTCTCCCTCGCTGTATAAATGTGCACAATGATGACATGTACCAATATCCATAGTTGTATTATACTTGTTTCCAGGTACAAATCCAAGAATGTGCCTTGATAGTTGAAGTTCATTTATTGTATTATGTATATATATTTATTTTCTCATTACAACTGGAAGCCAGAGAGGCAATGTTGAAGAAAAAATTGTTGATGTTTATGAAATTTATTAGTTTGTAACATTTCATACACTTATAGTTCATAGAATTGGTCAAACACTGCCAAAATATCTTTAAATGCCACAGAAGTCAGTCTTCAAAACACGAATAATGAAACATTTAATGAATATGTTTCCACATTGTGATAGAAAAAGGGTGCAGGCTTTGATATTGCTACATTATCACCAATTACATCCGCGGCTTCCAGAGATATCACATATAACATTCCTGGGATCAAATTTTTCGAGAAACACCACATTTGTCCGAATTACACCAAATTACATGCCATATTACTGTTTAAACTAATAAACTTTATTTATAATTAAAAAACACACTCTGGTATCCTTCTTTTAATGGCACTGACGATCTTGATTTGTCAAATTGCAAAACAAACACTTCAGATCAAATCTACCACAGATATTAAAATTTTACCCACATCACATTATTAATACATAAGAGGGATTATTTAGACAAATTATTCTGATTAATTCCAGTCATCAAATTCCACATACCATCCACACCATCTGGATGCTTGCCGGTACACCATAACTCTGCAATTTACTAGAAGTTTTCTTCCCCACAAGAACTCTTTGTGGAATTACCTACCACAGGCAGTTTTATATGAGGGAAATTTGATTTAATATGAGCGAAACTGCTGGGTGAAAAGCTAGTAAAATATAAAATCTAGTATATATATTCTTGAGCTAGGCAGGTACAGACAGAACAAGCCGGGGGTGGGGCATATTCATAGTTAGGCTAGGGCTGTCGGAACTCCAAATTGGGCACTGATAACTTCCATACATTTAAGCATGTATTCTCGTTAGGATTTATTTCATCGATATTTATATGTATAATAATTTATTGCTTTAGTTTATAATTAATTCATGTCACAAGTATAGAAATATAATTTAAAGAACTTTATGTACTGCTATGAATGTAAATTTATTGTTACAGAATAAGCATTCTTTTGATGTTTTGTTTATATTTGATTTCTCATAAAAAACAAATAATTTTAACCCTATTTATTTGACAAGATAAGTATAATCTTACTTTTTATAGAATAAAGGAAAAACTTGCTATCGCTCAAACTTAAGACGGTTTAATTGTTACCAACTGCTAGATCCTGAAGACTATTTTATACTTACATCAAAAGTTTAATACAAAAATGCTTACCGCACTGAGATCAGTGTCGAAACTGCGGCGGACATCGCTGATGGGTTTCATCAGCTCCGCCACAATTTCTTCCAATCTTTGAGAGTTCATGCTCCACCTTTTCTCTCGTTGAGATGAGCCTTCCTCTCTGAAAAGAGCACGTTTCCATTGGTAGCATCACTGAAAAGCGCGGCAGCATAAACAACCGTTGATGGTATAAGTTGTACCAGTGGCGCGAAACTTTGTGTCAATATTATTTTAACTTGTATAATTGTACTGAGAAATTTAGGTGTAATTGAAAGTCACAGCTTATCAAACATAGCAAGAGGAAATTACCTCCGCCTCTGCAAGCAGTCGGCGTCCATTTTACAAACATAAAATCTTATGATTAGGAAGAACGTAACAACAACGGTGGCCATTTATTTTTGTTTTCATGGGAGACATTCCACGTTCGCTGTCAAAGCGAAAGCGCCATTATGTTCGGCTTGTGTTCGGTGTTCGGTTTCGGTTTTTTTATTATCTGTATTATTTCACAGCTTATACAGATAAAAATCAAAGACTAAGTTCTATCTATGGACAAAAAATATAATTGTAATAATTATTTCATCTCTATAAATCATGTATCACTATAGCTATACTCAGGTATTTATTTAAATTCGAATTTTTCAAAGAAAGCAAGATATAAAAAATAACTATAACCAACTTTTTTTTTGCTTCAAATTGTTTTAATGAATGAGGGCATCCAAGACATTTTCCGCCACCAGGGAGGCGCCACTTAAAATGAGGTGTAATATTTGACAGATTTCAAAGCGGGGAAGTTGATTAGTATGAAATATGTAAAGGTTAATGTTTATTTCTGTTCTATTAGTTATATTTTGTATTAATAAGATTAAAAATAAATATACCAAACCACAGAGATTTTCCACGGACACCCTCGACATTTTTTTTAATTAGTAATTTACACTAAATACAAAAAATTACTTTTAAAAATAATAGAAACATGAAAACGAGTGATTTTTCTCGATTTAAGTGTATTTTTATTATTCTAAAAGTGAATGTCAGAGAATGTAAAAGTGAAAGTGAATCTCAGAAAATTACTGGATTTCCATTAGGTGAGAGTAGAGCATAACCTCAACGCTTCACTTATGAGGCGTGCAAAATATTATGGTTCCAAACAACTTATATGTAGTATCAATATAATTAAAAAATGTTCTAGAGTTAAAGTTTTTTTTTTATATTTTAGATAATAAGGAAGGAATGCACCTACCGATAGGAATAAAAGCTTTTTTTTTGTGTCTTAGAACTATTTTACTAATATAAGGCTGGTCCATAATACCTCTATCTTTTAAAGTTTTAATATTTTTTACTACAATCCCTAAGTCCAGCTAAAAGTCCCTAAACCATACTTAAAAATCCATTAGTTCAACCATATTGTTAGTACTTTTCTTTAATTATAATTAAATATTTTAGATAATAAGACGTTATTATTAAAAAAACTCTCTAAACGTTATTTTTTAACAATAGTTCTTATTTAAAACTTTTTTCAATATTGCTTCAAACACCAAAATAAAAGCTTATGTGCAAAAATTCCAAAACAGAAAAAAGTACTTAGGGACTTCTAGCCCATTCAATTGGGTCAACTTTGTATTGATTGATGAAACATGGCTAAACGCCAATCACAATGTGCCACAAACAAGCACATTCAATAAATGTGAGAGATGTCAAAAGGTATTTCTTACATTTGGTAGAGTACATGTATGATTAAGATCAATTGCTGAATAATCGCTTAGTTTTCCAGTGAAATTAATAATTATACTGACTGATATATATTAACGGAACTAAACATAACTATTAACTACACAAGTTTTATTTTAGTCTTTCTTATTATTCTAAAGTTACTTGTTGTTCTGAAAACGTAGCAATTTACAAAGGTAGACTGATATTAGTACGGGATTTACATTACGAATTTTTTTCTCAAAAATCGATCTGTTTTAGATTTGTTTTTTGAGTTTTTTTTACAATATCCACAAAAATAACACAAGAAAGCACAAATTACAAACGTAACTTATTTAATCCATTATGATTTTTTAAATGTTGATATGATAATTCATTATGATAAATGAAACTAAGCACATAACCATCTTGTGTTTTTAGATTATTAAGTGAAAAACTGTTATTTTTTAACGTTTAGGTACATTCACCAATTGTAAATATAAATAGGTTCTTATAAAATCAAAGAAAATCAAATCTTATTTTTTTTTTAGGTTGAAATAGCGATTCACTGGATCGATTTACAAATCGATCTTTTAGGACTAGAAATCGATTCTGTGGTTAAACGATCTCAGATCGCCATGTCTACTCTGTGACGACCATGGGAACCATGGAGGCTAGAGAACAAGGGAACGATCGCTGTGGAAAGTAGTGTCCCAGAAATTCGGATAAAATAAGCGAGGCGCTGTAGTCGCTAAGTTGTGTCAATAATTTTAATTATTATAAATTATTACAAATATAAGTTAAAGATTATTATTGATTTATTATTATTATTATAATTTATAATATTTCACCTTTTTTTTAAATTTGTCTTTGTCAAAAATTTAAAAAATACTTCGCAGACACTACTTACTTACTGCAGCGCAGCTATAAATTCTGCAAATTTTCAGGAACAGGCGGGCTATGCTTTAGCACGTAGCGATCGTTGTCCTGTTCTCTAACCTACATGATGGGCACGGCATGGGCATGAGTTTTTCGCTTCTGTTTTGTCGCTTGAATAATGGTTTGAAATGGATTTTGTTTCGTAAATGTGATGCGATTATGTGAATTAATTGTCTACGCGTGTGAACTATCAGAGAAAACGACGAAAGAAGTGCTTTGATGTTGCCATAAACCTCAAGTTATTTTGTTCGTTTTGGCGCCTTATGAACTTGAGTGGCCGTCGTCATCAACTGTCCGCTGGGTTGAGCTGTCGTCAAAATCTCCCAAAAACTTTACAATGTGATGCATTAGCATATTATGAAGTAAAAATATATAAAAATGAAGATTGCGAAAGAAATTATAGGCTCAGAAGAGCTAGAACCTAGAGGTGTAAAGCCAGTTAAATAAAAGAAAATGGCATGTGCATGTAGGCATGGGTGTTCTCAGTTTTTTCCTGCAACGGTTACTTATCCGACATTGACTTTTCATATCGTTATTGAAAACCGTTTTCAGATATCGATAAAAGTGGTAATAGCTACTGAATGCGCAAACGACAACCGAAACATAACCGGAATTACTTAGACAATTTTATAAAGGTAGTTTATTTATTAATGATTATATAAGTTAGCGATTATTCTTCATGCTTAACTAGGCTTAGGAATAGCAGAAAACTTTCTTGAGTTGGAACTTAAGTTCCCAGTAGTAGATTTATAGGATAACGTTTATTGATAATATTTAAGAACAGCAAGGTACCTACACGAAATTGACATTTTTATCAAAGTGAGACCATATTTCATTAGCTTTACGCGACCTTAGAGAGTCTAGATCAACTAAATCTACACTATACTATATTATTGTCGTTATACACATAAATGTCTGAATTAAAGTTAATGTTTAAAATGCACAAAATGTGGCAAATAAATGCACGAACGCAACGTCAAAAATTAATAATTTTATAGATAATATTTAAGAAAACGGCACGCGCCACCATGGTCAAGTGCGTAATTGTTACATTTTGAAAATATTCAAAACTTTCCATCCATAACATAATATGGTTGTACAAATCTAAGTCTTGTGTCTAGTGACCTAAGATCAATAAAAATTTGATAACTCTCACAACTACACAAACTTATAATTTAGCAAATTTTAACAATTTAAAATTCGACCTTATTGCTTTAGCTATATATTATATTCCGCGATGGGCACCATTGTGTGATAACTACCAAAACAACGATATCCATAATCACTTCATCTCTTTCTATACTTATTTATACTATCGTTGCAAGAACGAGAAGCGACTAATATCAACGAAGGACATCGGTTAGTTAGTGAACCGTTTTCCATTTCGGCAGATTGTTCCACAGTTTGCGTTATGCGTTTCGGTTTGTTTTCGTACGTTGTTTAGATAGTTGGTTTTGGCTGGATATGTGATAACGGTTATGTACTTAGGTTTATCGATATGATATGGTATTTTGGTAACACATAACGTTATTAGTTATGGTTTGATATATCAATCTCATGCCTAGCATGTATTATTATTATCTGTGAATCGCGGTCTCCCGATTATACTAGCTTATCTATGATCGCGGTTTTAGCGAAAATAAACATTGTTGTTTGATAGAAATAATATAATTAAGTTATTGGTGGCACCAAATAGTATATAAATGTTGATTAATTTACATTATAATACTACGTATTTTCCGTTTAATTAATCGTCACATAAACTGACAACAATGGGAATGTCGCGTTGTTACGCCTTGATGAAATGCTTGCTGATATTGTTTAACATTATTTTTCTGGTAAGCTTTACAAGATTTTATATTAGAAAAAAGATTAAAGATAGATAAAAAACAAATAAAATTTTGTCCTATAGAATCTCAGTAAAGGATTTCACTAAAATGTATGTTTAGAAAAGTGTTTCCTAAAGGGATGCTATTATTATGTTTAAGCATTTATAAATTAAAATCATGCTTGTTTCCGATGATCTGAATCAAATGTTGTTAGCCATTGTGATAATATTGTTAAGGAAGAATAAGTTTAGGGCAGTATAATTAAAGATCTAGAACAAGACACGTCTCCTTTCAGTCAGTCTTCTTTCGACCCAGCCAGGATCGTAAAAGATACATAATTATAAATAAAAAAATATTAATAGTGTAAAAAAAAGATATATAGATCGGAACAAAACTTTTATAGATCGGAACAAAAGTTAAATTTTAATCTATGGTAACCGCGGTTAACTATGACATATGGACGTTGAACATCTCAGTCCCGCCCGTGACCATGAGTGCTGTAAAGTGTTCGAAACGTCGGGTATTTAAAAAGTTAAATATACGCGATAAATTCCGTAAAAACTAGTATTATTTCAAAAACAGAATGAGTTCTAACTATTAAGTGAGTATTTAACAAGAATTGTATAGGAATATTGTTCATTATCTTGATCATGTATGTATATGAGCTGTTTATGTGAAGGAAATGACACAAATATGTAATGAATAGCTAAAATGCTCGGTATGGATAAAATGGTAATTAAATAATGGTTAACTTATTTACTTAACATTTTATCTATACCGAGTATTAAAAAGGAAGAGTACTAAAAATGCATAAAATAAAATATTGAAATGAACATGACAATTAAAAGAGTATTGTATTATTACTGTCTGGACTAGATAAGTGGTAGGCATAGTAACAAAATGATTTAGGATATGAATAAATAATATGCAAATTTCCTGATTATGTCAATTATTGAGTAATAAATGTCAATTAAAATAATTGGTAATACATCGTAAAGACACGCTGTAGCTATATTATAGTTGTAGCACAAATAGGTTTGCTCAACCTAGGCAAGAACATGCTCTCACAGAATACCTGCATAAAAATAGCAGCGTAATGCTGCTGTGTTTCATATGGTGAGTGTAGAGAACCAGAGACTTTTTACTGGAATTGAGGCATTCCATTTTAGTCCTTAGGATGACAATGCATTTGCAATTTGATTTACCATTAGGTGGACTGTGTGCTTGTTTGTCACCCAATGCTATAAAAACAAATAATACTACAGTGACTATGCCTTTTTACTTGCTAGTTTTATCTTAGATTATAATTTTTATAAAGATATTAAATTTTTTTAGAATAATTTTAAGGATTATATTATATATATCTTGCATAAAAAAATCTACTTCTTCTATAATTCTGCTAATGTTATATTAGTCATTGTTTTTTATAAATTAATTAAATTCCTTTTAATATTTTTACTTTTTTTTTTCAAATAAATAATTAAAAGTTCTTTGTAAACAACATAATGAGCCAATAATCCATTTGATTGTTAGTGACTATTGTGTAGACAAGGCATACAGATTAGTTTCTTATTAGTTTCATCTTTAAAAAAAAAGAATTATTCCACACTAGGATTTTCTCCTGTATTGTGGATTTAGTTTGTGTGTAAATTTTCACTAGAGCACACAACCAGACCAGAGACAATTATTTGTAGGCCACACAAGTATTTGTTCTGTGCAGGATTTGAATAAGTGGCCTTCAGCAACGCAACTCATTGCAATGTTATTGCGTCATGAAGCCGTAAAGAAGATGTTACATTTATTTTTTATATTTATACATTTTTGGGTTAGAGTATAGATTTATCTATGAGTAGTACTTAATTTTTAAGATATGCCTGAAATATAGGTTTTGCATTGTAATGTCACCTTGAAGATGAGTTAAGGGGAAATAGAAAAAATACTACTTCAAATGGCTTAGCAAGATCCTCCGTTATGCCGAAAATATTGCAGCATTAATTTTTAAATAATGTAATGATAAAGTTGAGGATTAATGTTAAGTACTAAGTTAGATGAAAACATGATTCCGTAAAAATTTCTCAATAGAAAAAAAATCCAAAGTTACCCCTAAACTGAACAATAAACCGCTGGTTTTCATAAAATATTTTAAATTAGATCATGAAACTTTGCGTACTAACTAAACTTACAATAAAGCAGGGCTTATACTTTTTTTTAAAGTAAAAAGAAATTACCTAAACTATCAGCGTCTTGAAGCTTGTTTCCTGCCGCCTGATCAGTCTAGCTTCAGCTTTTGAGTGGGAAAGCTGTGTCGCTTACAATCAGAAAACATTCAACAGGATGAATGGGAAATAACCGTAATAAAAATAAGAAGCGACTGGGCTTGCGTAAAGAAACGGGCATAAATATGATAAACCTAATGAATAAGTAGGGAAGTGGGGGCGAAATCAGAATTTGAGCTGAGTTACTATAGCCCCTTAAGTGATTAACAATACATGTTGAGGTGGTGGGTGTGGGCGCGTGCGCGTTCTGCGGGTGGGCATTGTGGGCGGGCTACGGCGGTGCGGGCGCGGGGCGCGCAGGGCTGTGGTGCGTGAGCGCGTGGGGCGCGGCGCTGGCGCTGGGCGCAGCGGGCTGTCTGCGCGGCGCGTGCGGCAGCTGTGCGGCGCTGCGCGGTGGGCTGGCGCTGCTGGCGCTGGCGTGCGCGGCCGAGGCGGCGGCGGCGGCCTGGGGCGCCGCGCACGCACCGCAGCTGCGCCAGGCGCTGCGCGACCGCCTGCGGGACACCGTCGCGCACGAGTACGGCCTGCTGCCCGACCGCACGCACATGCTTGACGCCATTCAGCACGGGGTACGTTATCATTGAATGGAATGATGCAATAGTAAAGTATCCACTTTACTATTGCATCAACACATCTTTTTAAATTAACTGAACATTTATTCTTATATATTATTATATTACATACCAAATTTGATTCAACTTGGACAATAACTTTCTATAAATGAGTCAACCTGTATAATAATAATGGTTTCTCGGAAATAACTCAACAACAAAGTTAAAATCTATCAAACACTACAGAGTGTGCCGAAGAAATAAACATACATATACAATGTCGCCCATCGGCAAGTGACCGCCCGGGATATTCTGCATGTACATGAAAAATTATCGGTAAAAAACCTAAAAAGGGGGGGTCTATCTTAAATACTTTTTAAGTTATTGAATTTTTAATTTTTTGAATGATGTTGGTCACCTTGTTCCACACTTTTTGCTCTAGCTCCAATGCTACGGGCACGATTTCGATTCTGTTTTCTTATTTCATCAGGTTAATAAGTTGTTTTGTTGGATTACGTAACATTTTTAGTTAAAATAAGGCGAATCATAAAAATAAACGTAGACAAAGACATTTTTTCTAAGCAAAAAAGTGATATTTATTTACAAAAACACGTGTAAGTACATAAAATGCCCCCCTTAACATGGGCTTTTTACTCATTATTAATAATCTAGAGCATAACTACTACACATTTACAATACACTATCAATATCTATCTCTTAAAATTTTTTAATAACAGCGTGTCAAAAACGGGTCCCTCCTTGCTGTGCATCATCGTCATCCAGGTAGAGAGCGGTTCCTAGAAACCGGTAGATAGATAACGCACGTGCGCACCCTTTAAATAATTGATGCGGACGACATGGCGACATAGAGTTAAAACTATTAATGCAGAAATGCCTATTTATAATAAAAATAACAGGCATGATTAAAAAAAACAACAATTTTAATTAATTAAGTTTTCAAAATGGCCCCCACCCTCCTGTAAGCAAATAAAAGCCCTCGTGGCTACACTATTGGTTGTTCGCAGTAATTCTGCAGGATTTTCTTTAACACATTGAGTGCCAAATACGCAATATTGCGTAGGTTGAAACAATGGTGGAAGCCAACTACGAAATATTACGTAGATCTTCCATAGCCCATAAATGGTAAATTATATTAATTGGCACCCTGTATTGCATATTTTTATGTTCTTTGGCCTCTTAAATAAAATAAGAGACAGAAAAATATTAACTTTATTTCTTTTATATTTCACAAATGACATGCTTTCTCAGGCAATTTTAGTGAAAAATATTAGTTTTCTAATAAGATACTTCATATTAAGTTTACTTTTTTATAACAAAAGTAGTAATTATTTTTTTTAAAATAAATTTAGAAAACGTATTTCTAATGAAATGAAAAATGAATTGTAACAAAAAAATTAAAATAAGCTATGCAATACGAGGATCAGTATAGAAAATTTTAAAGCAATTATTTACACATAAGGCAGGCTTTTCAGGGCAAGTAGCACAATCAAACGATGATTCCTTTTGCTTCTTGTTTTTTGTGCAAACGCGGCAAAGTTTGGCTGGAACGGCTTTCTTAGCGGTGGGTGGTAGTTTTTCTAAGTAATTAAAGTTTTGCAATGGAACTCGTGCACCTTCGTTTGTCGATAAGCGACTCGCAATATTAGCAGGCGATCGAGGTGGTTCAGAGGGCCTTTGTAACGACGACGAAGGTATAAGTTGAAGTTTGTCTTGGGCATCTTGTCGTTGTACAGGTGCTGCGCATGATGCACCGGATGACACTGCTGCTGTATTCAAACTTAGTCCCATGAGATATTTTACGAAATCTTCACGAAACTTTATCAGAAGCATTTTCGAAGTATGATAATTGACGCGAAGTAATCGATGGGCATTTTGGACTTAAACTTCAAAAATGTGTAATGCCAATTTCTTATGCCATCTAAGAGTTTTTCGAAGGCACTAGTAATATGAAACCATCTGGTCTCCTCTGTCCACACCAGACATCCCCAGGTTGTAGTCATCAACGATAGAAGGCTTCAACGACAATTTCCTGTTTCTTTTCTTACTGTCACGAATTGCAATTTATGTTTGTTGGAAATCACTAAGACGTCGCGTTTGTCTTTCTACTTACCAAGCTTCAACTTAGCGTTGGCTACGTCTAGAGGAAGGTTCTTGCGGATCTTTCGAAGAGTACTACATATGTACGTTTTTCTTTGACTAAGACGCCTTGTTAGTAGATCCGGTATGTTATAAAAATTGTCAGCGTAGATAACATGGCCTTTGTCTAAATACCCTTCCATTAGATCTAATACAACTTCGGTAATATGTTTCCGGTGGCGGCTTCTCACTCTTTCTTCTATAAACACGTATCTTCATAACTATTCCTGATGATTCGCAAAGTTTATATAGTTTCACGCCATATTTATGTTTTTTTATTTTTATATATTGACGAAAAACCAGTCTTCCTCTCCATAAATCCATCGATTCATCAATACTTAAATCAGTTTGTGGGTAATATATCTTAGACATAATATTGTTAAAACGATCTAATATTGGTTGTACTTTATGCAGTCTTGGTATTGCTGTGTCATCACTTCCAGAAAAATGAAATATTTGAAAGCGATTTCCACTCATAAGTTTTCTAAAAATTGGTAACTTGTACAGTGGATCTATTTTCCAATAATGACTTATAGTAGGTAAATGAACGAGTCCCGTCCCATACAGAGCAACATACCAATGAATTTACACATTTCTTCCTGATTAGTATCTTTCCAATACCTAAAACGGGCATGTTTTTGTACAGACCCTTTTGTGCCTTTTGTGTAGTTGTTTGTTGCTTGCACTAATGAATTCATAAAATGGTTTGAAAAAAAATCACCTAGCAATGCAGGAGTAAACAGGACGAAAGTAAGTAACAGAGATGTCAAGTACGTAATATTGCGTAGACTGGCATCATATGATGAAAGGGTTGTAATTGGTGCCGGACTACGTAATATTACGAATACGTACTATTGCGTAGATTGGCATCCATGGGATACTTTTTCTAGTGGGTGCCAGCTACGTAATAATGCGTAGCACACCATTTGTATGGTGGCCACCGATTTCACTATGACGCTAACTTTTGGCACTCAATGTGTTAATTTCCTCTGCGGCAGCAAAAATCCTAGCCGTTAATTGTTCGCGGCTTTCAATGCGCGCGGCATACACCTTCTGTTTCATGAATCCCCATAAATAAAAATCTAAGGGTGTCAGGTCGGGCGATCTCGGCGGCCAAGCAACGGAGCCTCCTCGACCGATCCATCGCGGATAATTTTCATTCAGATAATTTCGCACTAGTCGTGCGAAATGTGCTGGGGCTCCGTCTAGTTGCAGATGCATTCTTCTTCTCGTTGCCAGCGGCACTTCATCCAAAAGTGAGGGCAACGTATTTTGGAGAAAATCTAAATATGCGTGTTGATCTAGCCTGTGAGGCAATACGTAAGGGCCAATGAGCATATTGTCAATTATTCCAGCCCATACATTAACAGAAAATTCTTTCTGAAAAGATGTTTTTCTTCTGACGTGTGGGTTTTCAGCGGCCCAGACATGAAGATTTCGGTGGTTTGTAATACCCGCCCTTGTGAATGTACTCTCGTCCGTCCACAAAATCTTCTTTAGAAACTCAGGATTGGTTCTTTGTTGCGATAAAATCCAGCTACAAAACACAGATCTTGCACGGTAATCCACATCTTCCAAATGTTGAGCACGCCGGAAGTGATAAGGATGGAGGCCTTCTTTCTTAAGAATTCTCCAGATTGTTATTCTTGGTACATTCAGTCTTATTGACAAGAGACGAATGCTTGTCATAGGGTCAGCGCGCACTAATCTTAACACTTCCTCTTCCATGTCCACGTGAAGTGCCACGCCAGGCTCATTTTGTCGTGGAAGTCCTTGCTCACAAAAACGACGATGCACAGCAATGAAGGACCGGTACCCAAGTACTGGCCTACCTGGATAACGACGTTTGTACTCTTCGACAGCAGAACGTGCATTCCCATCACAAAAACCGTATACAAAATGCATATCAGCTACGTGAGAAGGCGGTAAATCACGCAATCGTAGCATTACGATGCTTGAAACGCACAGGAATGGTCCTCGAAAAGATAAATAGCGCACAAATTAAAAAACACGTAACGTCCCGGGATCAGTAATCGAGCGACTGAATGATGCACAAACAACCAACCGAGAAGAGTGCGCACGTGCGTTATCTAGCGGTCTCTAAGAACCGGTTTCTACCTGGATGACCTTTTTTTTGCTTGATATGGAGCAAATTTTTGACACGCTGTTATTAAAAAATTTTAAGAGATAGATATTGATAGTGTATTGTAAATGTGTAGTAGTTATGCTCTAGATTATTAATAATGAGTAAAAAGCCCATGTTAAGGGGGCATTTTATGTACTTACACGTGTTTTTGTAAATAAATATCACTTTTTTGCTTAGAAAAAAATGTCTTTGTCTACGTTTATTTTTATGATTCGCCTTATTTTAACTAAAAATGTTACGTAATCCAACAAAACAACTTATTAACCTGATGAAATAAGAAAACAGAATCGAAATCGTGCCCGTAGCATTGGAGCTAGAGCAAAAAGTGTGGAACAAGGTGACCAACATCATTCAAAAAATTAAAAATTCAATAACTTAAAAAGTATTTAAGATAGACCCCCCCTTTTTAGGTTTTTTACCGATAATTTTTCATGTACATGCAGAATATCCCGGGCGGTCACTTGCCGATGGGCGACATTGTATACTCTCAACAACATTACCTTCCTTCTAGGGCAGTAGTGTAAAAAAGTTAGTTTATTTGAATTATTTTACTACACAAATAGAATGATTTTGCATTTTATTTTCATATGTGTAGTTAATTTTTAATATGACACAGTTACAGTGTTGCGGTGTGGAGGGGCTGCGCGACTGGCAAGATTCTGCTTGGGCGGGCGGCGAGAATGGGGCGGGAGGGGAGAGCGGGGTAGTCAGGGCGGGTAGTGCCCTTGACCTATCTGTCAGCGCCCCCGCCCTCTACTACTGGGTGCCCGCTTCCTGCTGTGCAGTCAGTATCCAAATTACTCAATTTGGAAAAACATTTTAGAATTTTAGAAATTTAACTTATGAAAAAGAAATTACTGCATAGACAGGCTATTTTCCACAACCCCACGTCTAGGAGCGTATTTTACATGTGAGCATGAATATTATAAATTATTCGGGCCATGAAATCTCCCCGAAAAAGTCCCAACAGTCTTTTGATGTTGCAAGCAACTTTAGGGACTGATCCCGTCGTGCCGAGATGTTTAGCTCTGTATTCAGTGACCGGATATGCAACAACACGTGGGCCGCCGTTTCCTCCTTCTCCACAAGTGCCCTGTACAGGAGACTATCTGTAACATATACATAAAAACTCACGCCTGTCACCCAGAGGGGTAGGCAGAGACTACGGACTTCCATTTGGCACGATCCTGACATACCTCTTTCGCCTCCTTTACATCCATATATCTACGCATACATGCTCGTCGGTTAAGGGTACTTCTAACGTGGCCCCTTTTCAAAATATCGCCAATTTGGTCGATAAACTTTTTTCTAGGGCGTCCCTTCCCGACTCGGCCATTCACATCTGCCATATAAATTTGCTTTGTCACTCTTTCCTCATTCATTCTTTCTACATGACCAAACCACCGAAGCATTCCTTTCTTAATCCTGGTCACAACATCATCTTGCATACCACATTTATCTGTAACATAGTATAGTAAATAAATGTTTATTAATTGTTTATTAGTATATGTTCTGTAATAGCACTTGCTGCTATCCTGATCTCTGGCTTGATCAATCTTATTAAGACCATGATTAAACAACTATTTATTTCTGGCAGGACCATCTATTGCTATGGGCGCTTGGATAATACCCATATGTTCTGCCTAAAAGACAGTGTTGTGGATACCCTGCGGTAGTCGTTCAACTGTAGGATCCTCAGTCTTACTCTACAAATTTAGGGTCTTGAGTCTGATGGCAGCTAAAGTCACTTGTTGTTGTATGTGTAGGTGAAGCGGGGTTAGCTCCAGCATAACCTCTAAAGCTGTTGTTGATGTAGTGTTTATACAGCCTGTGGCATCCATGCATGCCAGTCTCTGGTAATGCTGAACCTTCGTTATAGTGTTGGCTTCATTCGTTTTGGTCCACCATACCGTTTCTTCGAATATGATTATGGACCGAATTACAGTTTTGTACAGCCACATTATAATTTTTGGTGTCAGACCTCATTATTTGCCAATCATGTTTCTGTATAGCCAGAAAGTTATAGTGGCCTAGTTAATTTTGTTTTCTATGTGTTTATTCTAGTTTAGTTTGCTGTCCAAGATAAGACCTCTCACAGAATTCCAGTGTAAAATAGTAGCTTAATGATGCTGTGTTTCGTATGGTGAGTGTAGAGATTCGGCGACCCTTTTTACTGGAAACGAGGCATTTCATCTTGGTTCTCATGGATGACAACGCATCTGAATTTTTATTCGTAATCGAGGACAGATGTAGATGTCTATGGGCCACAGCAACCACTTACCATCAAGTGGACTGTGTGCTTGTTTGTCACCCTATCCTATAAAAAAAAAATCTGGTTATTTTACCTTAGAAGATATTTGGAGTTTTGTGCTGAAAAGACTTGATAGGTGATAGTTATTCAGTATTCGTCTTTGTGTGAACATTACTAGTAACATTTTATTTGGGTTAACAGTTAAGTCGAATTTCTTGCACTAACTCTCCACAATATGGAGAGCCGCTTGGGTCAGGTTGCACAACCTTCTCGCTGCTTTTCCTGAGACTAGTATTGTCATTTTTTTGTTTTGATTGATTGATTTGATTTTGACACATTTAATGTGCTGATGATTTCATTTATGACCATATTCCATAGGAGAGGTGAAGGAACCCTACCTTGCGGGCAGGTTTTCTATATTTGGACTGTTTGAAATTCATCAGCAACCTTTATTGTTTGTGTATTAAGCATATTTACCCAATCAATCAGTGCCGATTCAACTCCATGTTTAATTAGTGCAACTTTGGAAAAGTTTGTTCTGTCAAAAGAATCTTTTATATCTGTAGGATCCTAGACATATTTCTTTGTTTTGGATGGCGATATGCGAGGTTGTGTACAGCAGTAGATCTGTGATGTTGTTGTAGTGGTGGTAGTAGACTCATTAAATCTTAACCAAGGGAAGAACAAAGGTGTCTATAGGCCACGGTATCTTTTTATCAAGCGAACTGTTACGATCATGTATTTTGTTATTTTTACTTCTATAAAATAAGCCCAATGCCAAAGGTCAAAAGATTTTACTGCAAGGGGGAAAAAAGGTTTATACCCTGTGTCACTTCCATAACTAATATAAATGAAATAAAAAACTAAAACAAACACATCCCATACATTTAAATCCATCAAGCCTACGAGTTTAGCTTATAGAGTGTATCAAAGAAATAAACATATTATATAAACACTCGAAAAACATAACAGTCTGTCTGGGGCATTTAAATAAAAATATTAAGTTAAAGATAAAGATAAAGATATTTGTTTTGTAAAACATGAGTAAAAAATACAGGTGTTAAAAAAAACTTAATACGAGCTACATGTTTTGCCATTTATGGCGTACAAAAATTATTCTACATATATTAATTATTCTACAAGACAAATTAACCAACACTATGTTCATAATTTTAGATGTGCAAAATTTCAATGGTGTCTCGTAAAATTTGCAATTCATAATTTAGCTTTAAACAAATCAATCACTTAAGAACTCAGGCAAGCTGTAATAACATTTGGCTATCAAATATTTTTTAAGATGTGGCTTAAAAAGTATGGTAGGCAATTGTTTGATGTGTTTGGGGATTTTATTGTATATTATTGGCGCCAGACATAAAATACTTTTATGCATCAATGCCGTTCTTGAACCAACTGCGCATAACCTACTATTATCCCTGCGATTGCGAATTGTGACGTCCGATGGTTTGTTAAACAATTTAGGGTTACTTTGAACGAAGTTTGCTACTTCATATATAAATAAGGAGGGTAAGCTCAAAATGTTGTGCTCAATGAAATATGGTTTGCAGCTATCAGTAATTTTAAGATCGAACATAGCTCTGATGCACCTTTTTTGGGACTTAAATATAATTTCTTTATTAGTAGAATTTCCCCAGAATATGATGCCATACCTCAAGATGGAATCAACAATACCATGGTATGCCGTGAGAAGCGCATCGGTACTTACGACGGATGAGAGTTTATAGAGCGCATAAGCAGAAGAACTAATTCTTTTGTTTAGTTCTTCTGTGTGCGCTTTCCAGTTCAAACTTTTATCAATGGTTACACCTAGAAATTTTGTTGTATCTACTTGGTTGATTTCTGTCCCTTGGTAATTAACTTTAATATTTGGTGTTGCTAAGCGTTGACTGAAGTACATAATTTTAGTTTTTTGAAGATTAATTTTTAAATTATTATTATTTAACCAGTTTATTATTAAATTAATTGTATTATTAATTTCACTTTCAAATTTATCCTTATTGATGGAGTTTATTGTTACCGTACTGTCATCGGCAAATAGCGATATTGGATATTTTGTAATTTTTGGTTAATCATTTATGTAGATGATGAACAATAAAGAACCTAACACACTTCCTTGTGGGACACCGTATTTAAGTTGTAATGTTGTTATTTGAAACGAGACTACGGATCGGAATAAAGCGATAAGATATTATTATTAAGCAGGTCATCAATTGAAACAATGGATATAAGCCTGTATTCTCGTTTCAGGAGGCTGTTTAGGACTTCCCTTGTGCTCATATCCTAGACGGCTCCCACCATTACATCAGATTTGCTAGACCACAAATCTTCGCGAAAGAACATCGATTCCAGCTAAGGATAATTTACTTACTTACTTACTTACTTATCTTCACGCACAATCCCTAACGGGGTAGCCAGAGAGAACAGATCGCCAAGTGTCACGATCCTTACATACCTCTTTCGCTTCTTTCATCTTCATTAACTTCTTCATACATGCACGTCTAGGTATCCGAGTACTCTTGACCTTCCCCTCTTAGCTCTTAACTAAGGATAATAATCATCATTACAGCCTTGCACAAGTCTATTGCTGAACATAGGCCTCCCCCAAGGAATGCCTCAAACTACGATCCTGAGCCACCAGCATTCATCGACTTCCTGCTTGTCCTACCAGGTTGTCACCCCATCTAGCGGGGGTTCGCCTTACACTTCGCCTACCGGTACGAGGCTGCCACTCGCGAACCTTTTTTCCCTATCGGTTGTCGGTTCTTCGAGCTATATGGCCGACCCATTGTCACTTCAGCTTACTAATCCGTTGGGCTATGTCGGTAACTCTGGTTCTACTACAGATATCCTCATTTCTAAGTTTATCATGCAGATCAACCACAAGCATAACCCTCTCAATAGCACGCTGAGCGATCTTAAGCTTCCTCATACGGCCAGCAGTGAAGGACCCCGTCTCAGATCCATAAATCATCACTGGCAACACACACTGGTTGTACATCTCGTTTTTAAGTTTTGAGGTATACTTGACAAGAAGATGTTGTGTCGTATTTTCCCGAACGCTGTCCAGCCGAGTTGAATCCGTCGATTGACCTCTCGGTCGAAGTTGGACTTACCTAGTCGGACTATTTGTCCCAGGTAAATATACTCGCCAACAACTTGGAGCTTAGTGCTCCCAACAACTACCGGCTTAGGTGTGACATTTTTAACATTACACATGATCTTTGTTTTATCCATGTTCATCTTAATCTTAATCATCTGTTGGGAGACATTATTGAGGTTAAGGTTAAGGACTTGATACGTGGTAGAGACATGCTGGCCATGTTAATAATGTTGCAAGCCATAATTAATACCCATATATATATATCTAGTGTCGGGTATCAGAGCGAGGAAAGCATTCTAGAAAATTCCATGCTAGAACTTTCCACCTCCAGCGCCATATAGTATCAAGGGGCAGAACTAGGAGAGGACTTTCTCCACTTAGTCGGTCGGAACCGGTATTTGCTGGAACATTATAGATGTTTCGTTGGAAAAGGCCTATATAAAGCCATTAGAGGCCGCAATCGGGACAGTATTGAATTGGCGATACGAGCGAAGCTTTCGGAGGGAAATAAAGAGTTAAGTGTGATTAATTATTAGTGTGATGTAAGTTTTAATTGGTGTTCAGTAATTAAAGTGTCAATTTTGGTAATTCAATCGGCAGTTTTTATTATCACGAACCTTAAGATGGTAACAATAGTATAGTACGGCACGAATGGGTCGGCCGGACCGGGAAAGGACCACGCTCTCACGGAATACCAGCGTAAAATAGCAGCTTAATGCTGCAGTGTATGTATGGTGAGTGTAGCCAACCAGAGACCCTTTTTACTGGAAAAGGCATTCCATCTTCGTCCGCTTCTGCTGTCTGATGCGCACAAACTTGGATGAGTATTTGGAATGTGTATTTAGCTTGCTCAATCAACTCCTCTTCTATTATTATTTCACATAACGTTTTACTTTCTTCTCGTTCAAAAACCATCACTTTCGTCTTACTTGCGTTCACTTTCGTTCTTAACCCACATTTTTCACCATTCAAAGATTCCAAACGCAAGTGTGAGTAACGATCCCAGAGCAAGTCTTATCCGACACTACTCCGATGATATTTCGGACGTTAGTCTTAACGAGATTAGAATGGCTTGACGACTCCGTGGCGTAGTGGCTTAGCAATGAGTGGCTGCGCTGGGAGTTGCGGGTTCGAATCCCGCACGGAACAAGTATTTGTATAGCCTACAAATAATCTTTTCGGGTGTGGATGTTTGTCCTTGTGCAATTTATGTTTGTAAACTGCCCCCGCGATACAGGAGAAAATCCTAGTGTAGGGGTAACGTTTAAAAAAAAAAGAAGAGGAGTTGATTGAGCAAGCTAAAAACACATCCCAAATACTCATCCAAGTTTGTGTATTTGGGATGTATATTTAGCAGGGACCGTAGAGGATAAGAACGACGAGTGAATGCAGGAAATAGAGTAAATGGAGCTCTACACTCTATTATGAAGAGTTAGAGTGTGTCAAAAAAGGCATGTATGGTAATTCATAATGCTGTGTTAATCCCTACTTTAATGTATGGTAGTGAAATTGTGGCAAAGAAGCACGAAAGTAGAATAAATGCTGTAGAAATGCGGTCTTGTAAGGAGTATGCTAGAGTTGAATTTAAATGACAGCGTGAGAAATTGTGTGAAAAGAGAAAAATGTCGTGTGCAAGATGATGTGACCAGGATTAAGAAAGGAATGCTTCGGTGGTTTGGTCATGCAGAAAGAATGAACGAGGAAAGAGTGACAAAGCAAATTTATATTGCAGACGTGAACAGCAGAGTCGGGAAGGGACGCCCTAGACGAAGGTTTGTCGACCAAATTGGTGATATATTAAAAATGGTTCATTACATTAGGAGGTCCCTTAACCAACGAGTGTATGCGTAGATATCTGGATGTGAAGCAGGCGAGAGAGGTATCAGGACCGAGCCAAATGGAAGTCCGTAGTCTCTGCCTACCTCTCTGAGTGACAGGCGTGAGTGTTTATGTTTATGATTTATTATGTCCTTGCATTATTTTATATGTTTCAATGAAGTCTCCTCGTTCACTACGATTTTTCAGAGTCAAATTTAAGTGTTTTCAGCCTTTTCTCATATAGTATGTTTTTAAATGCTCCTGTAACTTTTGAAAATTTGAACGTTGAACTCAATATCCTTATTTAAATAGGAATTCCAGATTTAAAATTCATATTTTAGGAGTAGGTTTAGGTTTATATATATTAGCATCGTTTTTGGTGTAGGATTCCTGAAGGCTCTTATAATGTAAATAAAACTATTTGCCTTTTTTTTGTTGCGGACATTTTTACATTGCAACTCAAGCTTTAAGATAGATCGAAGTTCAATATTATAAACAATACTGGCCCAGTACGGAGCCTTGTGGTACAGTGTTTTGTGTTTCTTTTTGATCTGAGAATATGTTACCAATCCCTTACGCTGAAGGTTTTTGTTCTAGAAAAGTTATAATCTAAGCTAACAGTTTCTTTCGAATATCATCAAATTCCAATTTATGTAAAATCCTATCCATTGATACTTTTTCAAAAGCTTTTTCGTTATTTAGATGTATATGTATTGGTTATTGATATCTGTAACATGTATTGTTGATCATTTTAATTACTTTTTTTCTCTACGTGATAAACTTAATAATGAAGATAACCGCATTAGAACTAGAGTAACCGACATAGTCCAACGGATTAGTGAGCTTAACTGGTAATGGACCGGCCACATACCTCGAAAAATCGATGGAGAAGAAAAGTTTTCTAGTGACAGTCTCATACTGTATACTGACAGTATGAGACTGTCACTAGAAAACTTTTACTTTTAAGTCTCATACTGTCACTAGAAAACTTTTACTGGTGGACGTAGTGTAGGGCTTCTTCCCACTGGATGCAGGTGGCTCAGGATCATGCTTTGTGGCACTTCTTGGGGAGGCCTAGGTTCAAAAGTGGACTTGTGAAGGGCTGCAATGAAGATGATGGAAATGGTGTAAGCTTGTTGCGGTTTATTTGTGTTTGGGCGTGAGTGTAGTGTGTTTCATGGAATACTGTACTCACACCCGGACTGGGGCGCTTCAGCACAGCTTCTTCCAATTACTGCATTTTTTATAGAATAAGGGTGACAGATGAACACACAGTCTATCTGATCTTAAGTAGATGTTGTGGCATCTACATCTATTCTCAATGAAGGCTCCCAATGCAACCCTTGTGGACTAAGATGGAATATTTTGTTTTCAGTAAAAGTGTCTATGTTTCTCTATAATAATCATACGAAATATAGCAGCATGAAGCAGCCATTTTATACTGGTATTCTGTGAGCGCGAGATCCTCCTCCGGTCGAGTCCACTTATTCGTGCTACAAGCATAATGTGATGTTAGCAGTGAAAAGGTTTGTCATGTTGCGGTGATGTTGTGTGGTAAGCACGCAGTGGGCTAGTGTGTGCGGGGCCGGGGGATTACACGGAGTACTGTTGCAGACGGAGGACGCGTACGAGTGCGAGGCGGCGCGGAGGGTGCGCGTGGGCGGGGAGGGTGCGGAGGCGGGCGGGGTGGGCGGCGGCGCGCTGCACTCGGCGGGGTGCGGCGCGCGGGCCGTGCGTGCGCTGGCGGCGGCGGCGCACGCGCGCCGCTGTGCGCGCGTTGGGCGGCGGCGCACGCGCCGCTGTGCGCGGCCGCGGCGCTGCTGGCGGCGCACGTGCTCGCGCTGCTGCTGGCGCTGGCGCTCGCGCTTAGACCCAAGCCGCACACCGCTTACAAGGCTTAGGCACTACGCAAATAACACCCCTCTGTCTCCCTCACTCGCTCTACCTCTCCCACTCTCTCATTGCTTTACTCCTATCACATATCCATTTTATAATAAAACATCTAAACGCAAAAAAAAACTTAATAAACCACGCGTTTTTTTTAAATAGGCTAAAAATTTAAATTCTTTTTCTTTTCATATTTTACACTGTCATCCGAGCTATGTGTGTTCCAAATTTTAAATCTCAAGCTCATCTGGAAATTAGTTTAAAATCAATTACTAAATTCGACCCGAATGAAATCGAATAATGGAAAAGGGGCGTGGTAAAGAATAGACGTAGATTTAAAATTACCTGGAATTGCTTTTTCTCTTTGAATAAAAACAAAAAAAAGATCAGCAATAAATGCGCGTTAGTAAACGATTATGTTTAGACAATATATTATATATTGTTAACTAATATTCAAAACGACTATCTTCAAGTCATCTAAATGTGTTCATATTTATAATATGAGACGCAAGTCTCTTTTTAAAATAAGCATACAATGAACTTTGTGCGAACTGCAGAAGTGTCTAACCTTTTCGCAATTTTCGTACACTAATTTTAATATAACTTTTTGTTTGTTCTTGTTTCACCTTCTGTCTAATGTATATATACTATTATTATTAATATTATGAAGAATTAATGTATTAGTCAAAAATATCAATCAAATATCAGATTTGTCATATCAGTATATTAATTCCATATTTATTCTTTCATATTCTATTCAAATAATGTTCATAAAATTTAAATAACACATAAACATACAAATACTACTTTCACTCACTAAACAAAAGTTAGCTATTAAAACTTACATGAAAAGCTATACGAGGGGAGGTCAAAGAGTTCGCGGAATGACAGAGAAAGATAATGAAATGAAACAAACTATTTTCCCTTTTCAATGTATTCTCCCTTAACACTAAATCATTTATAATAAAACATTTGTCTTGGACCTCAAAATAGACCGAAATTGCCGACTTCACTTCATTATCGTCTCCAATTTTTTTCCCACGAAGTTCTTTCTTCATTTTTGGAAACAAATAATAGTCGCTTGGAGCCAGGTCTGGGCTGTAGGGTGGGTGGCGCAGTTGTTCAAAACCGCACCGGTGAATGGCAGTCGGCGCAACATGGCTTGTGTGCACGGGCGCATTGTGCAAAAGGAGCACGACTTTTGTGACTTTCCTCGTCTTTTTTTCTTCAATAGCTTCTTTTCATTGATCTAGTAAAGAAGCGTAGTAGTCTCCCGTCATGGAAACGACACATTCCTTTTAATCAATCGGAAGGATACCTTCTGTATCCCAAAAAATCGTCACCTTGATCTTTCCGACCGATTGAGACACCTTGTATTTCTTAGGAGAGGGTTTGACTTTTTTATGCCACTGCATCTACTCTTGCTTTGACTCAGATTCATAATGGTTCACAATTTGGGCCATAACTTCCCCCTTTTGCTCTCGGTCCAAAAACTCGCGACAACTTACGACTCGCTCGTGTTTATGATGCGCAGAAAGCATTCTCGAAATCCGTGTTGCACGGACTTTAAGTCATGCAAAGGTGTTGATGTAGGATGCTTAAAATGGTAGTTTTTGATACTCCAAGTAATGTTGCAAGCTGTTTTGCCTTTAACCGGGCATCTTCCCATATAAGTTTTTTAACTTTTTCGATTATTTCTGGCTTGGTAGCCTCAATCGACCGTCCAGTTTGGGGGTCGTCTTCAATGGAGCCCCTCCCTTGTTTGAAACGGGCTTGCCATTTATAAATCGTGGTTTTCCCAGGAACGGAGTCCCCATAAACAGCTGACATCTCTTGAAAAATGGTTTGAGATGTCTTTCCTTATTTGGTAAGAAACTTAATCACGGCACGCTATTAAATTTTTTAATAGTGGCTAATTTGCCGGCTGCGTGATTATGTGGAGAGTTTTACCCACTAAACACTACCTTAAGGGATTGGCTTACCGATCTGACTAGAGATCTTTAAGCCGTAAACAGACGCGACCCTCCTTGAAAGAGAAGAGGGCGCAATGATGACCCGATTAGGCTGAAACTTGGTATATATACTAATAATGAGTCACTCAACTAGCGTCTACCTGAATGAGTAAACTCACCTCGCCAACCCCGCCATTCCGCGAACTTTATTAATTCGTTTTTCCGCCTACCTTAGAAACGTACTTTGCTACACTAATTTATAAAACTAAAACAAAATTTATGTATCACAAATCAAACTAAACCATTAAAAATACACAAAGAAAAATATTGTGTAAGTAAGAATAAAGTGGACATGATAGTTAAACTGATGGCTTATGCGAACAATGTTTATGTATAACTTCATTATTAATACATACACAATACATTCCAGTTCTACATCCCAGTGACTACAACCTGCATTTTATTTTATAATTTTGTTTATATTCAATGCAATACAACCATGAGACTGAAATAAGCAAGATTATCTCTTGATGTATTTGAACATAAGCTAATAATAAAAGTAAATCGTTTAGAGATGTTTTAAATATTTTCAAAATATATAATAATAGAGTTAGTGTCATTGTTTTTTATGCATAATTCAATCAAAAAATTAAGAGATCTATCTTGTTATGTATGTGTACTTATTATACATTTATTATTTGTCCATTGCAGATTCAAATGGATAAAAATATTCTTTCAATTTCTATATCTAATAATTAATTCGCTTGCTATTTGATCTAAAATGTGCTAAGTTACTTACGTGCCATATATTGATAATTTTTTATAATATTTTTTGTTGTTATTTATGTTTCGACTGGCCTTACCGGCAAAGAATGCCTAATGATATTAAGTTTGGCCTTTTTATTCTTATATGGAAATGTAACGAAGATGAAAGACTCGGCTACTAGTGGCAATGAGGCCAAAACTCAGCTAGTTTTAGATAAGGATTAATATATTAATGTAAGAATTGACTAACGGTTGGTTTTAGTGGATATTAACTGTAGCGAATAAGAACCTAACCAAATTGAATGTTAGTCGTAGATTTGCATACTACTGCATCAGAGCTCATATTGCTCTATTAGAATATAGTGGACCTACCATTGTAGTTTTGTCGTATGTTTCTTATTTATTTTAGTAATTTAACATAAATATATTAATTTACCACATATTATATACACTGTTGCTCTCTGATTTCGTTAGTTTATAAGAACGTAAACAGAAATATTTTAAAGTTTCTGAACTAAATTATTTGGATCGACTTATCGTTAAAAAATATTGAGAACTAACAAGAAGTACATAGATATAATACTATTTTGATCACATTATTGTGAAACTTAACAAAAACATTTGTTCTTTGTCTGTATCCGCCTGAAATATCCACCGTCGCGTGAAATCTGTAACCAAAGAGCTGTGAAGTCCGCGATCTGATGAGACTGAATTATGTACTTAAGTTTAAAACCCACTGCCATGTTGTACAAATAATGTTTAAGGTTTACATTGAGACTGATTTTGTTCTGAATTATTTTCAAGTTTATTTTTAATATAATAAGTTCTACATGATCGTGGCTACGAAGTGATTTTCAATTATTTATGTTATAATATTTCTTTATTTTTTATGAACACTTTAAAGAACTAACGCACTTGATTAATGTTCAACCTCTTGTGAATAATAGATTAATTCTTTTGAGATTAGTGTTATTTTTATTTGATATTGTTTTTAAAATATCACAAAATAAATATATCTATGTAAAAAGTAACGAAAACCAATGGCGCATCGTTGAAGCTTATTTCATGTTCAGTAGAGCTTTGCAACTGAGTACAAATATTTTATCAATTAGTTTGCTGGCAAATGTAATTGAAAGTCGACTTACATTGAGCCAATAGCGTATGGTCACTGTTAAGTTAACCGACGCCAGTTCAAATATCCTTAAAATTCCCTGCCAAGCACGTATTTAAGTTATTGTCAGCGAATTTTCTGCCTCCTCTATTTCAGGCAACACTGGATGAAATTGAAAACAATACTTCTTATACAATAATAACGATAATTAGTAATACCTAGTCCACGCTGACTTATGCACTGATGCCTGTCGCTGACTCAATGTAAATCGATCTTAAGTCTTAGGCTGCCTTAGCTGTAATGTGCTGATTAAGAACTCGCACACATTTCCGGTAAAGATCCTGCATTCTATTAATACTCGTCTATAATTATAATGTATATGTGTTTAGTTTGTAGTTTATTAGTTATGATGCACTCTTGTGTATCACATAAGTGTGTATTAACGCACTTCGGTGCTTAACTAAATAGTTGTTAATGGTTTCCGGACTTTTATAGCAAAAAAATAATTTTTAAAAACTGCGACCAAACGACTAAGGAATTGTGTTTTTAAATAGCGATTTATCTTAAACATGTACATGTGGAATGTCCATATTATGTATATCGTCATAACGTATTGATATAAAGATTCGGATCTTTTATATACCTAGTCTGGTCATAAGTTATCAATTGAAATACATACTCGTATATATACTAGCTTGCCAGACAGACGTAGTTCTGCCCTTTTCGACAACCCTTTGTCACGTCCTATTAAAAATACTTAAATTCGCAAAAAAAAATTGTGGGTCACTCTTGGCCAAAAAACTATCCTATCTCTCAAGTTGAACCAAACTGCTCACGCTGTGCGAATTTGATTGAAATCGTAAAGTAAAAAAGTAGTTTAGGAGTCCATCGCGGACAAACAACGTGACACGTAATTTATATATATTAAGATAATGAGAAGAACCTGTTTATTATTTACCTTTCACTGCATGTTGTATTTTGTCAAAAACCGTTTAAAATGTAGCGAAAAGGAGAGAAAACGATAGATGCTTCCTAAATAATAAACATTAAATTTGAATTCCTATAAAAGGAATTGATGGCTTTTTATAATTTAACAATATTTATGGCCAGACTAGTTACGTTATAAACTGATCATTGCAGAGACTAAATCGGTGTACTTTTATAACCTTTATAGTGAATTAATATA